ACAGTTTAATTCTCAGGACTGAATTGAGTGTGTTTGTCAGTGGAAGTCTTTCGCTATCATTCATCTGAGCTGGTCTGTCTTCACTAATCATGAGAATAGATAGATTTAATGAGGGTAACAGACAGTCCAACTTTCATGAATAGCTATGAAAAGCAATTTCATCTGAAAACACACTCCAGCTTTCATGGATAGTGGGAAAACAATTTACTCTGACAGACAGTCCAGCTTTCAGTCTAGCTTTCATGGATAGTGGGAAAACAATTTACTCTGACAGACAGTCCAGCTTTCGTGGATAGTGAAAAAACAACAATTTACCCTGACAGACAGTCCAGCTTTCATGGATAGTGGGGAAAAAACAATTTACTATGACAGACAGTCCAGCTTTCAGTCTAGCTTTCATGGATAGTGGGAAAAAAACAATTTACTCCGACAGACAGTCCAGCTTTCATGGATAGTGAAAAAAACCCAATTTACCCTGACAGACAGTCCAGCTTTCATGGATAGTGGGAAAAAAACAATTGACTCCGACAGACAGTCCAGCTTTCATGGATAGTGGGAAAAAAACAATTGACTCTGACAGACAGTCCAGCTTTCAGGGATAGTGAATAAAATACAATTTACCCTGGCAGACAGTCCAGCTTTCAGTCTAGCTTTCATGGATAGTGGGGAAAAAACAATTTACTCTGACAGACAGTCCAGCTTTCAGGGATAGTGAATAAAATACAATTTACCCTGGCAGACAGTCCAGCTTTCAGTCTAGCTTTCATGGATAGTGGGGAAAAAACAATTTACTCTGACAGACAGTCCAGCTTTCATGGATAGTGAAAAAAACCCAATTTACCCTGACAGACAGTCCAGCTTTCATGGATAGTGGGAAAAAAACAATTTACTCTGACAGTCCAGCTTTCATGGATAGTGGGAAAAAAACAATTTACTCCGACAGACAGTCCAGCTTTCAGGGATAGTGAAAAAAACACCCAATTTACTCTGACAGAAAGTCCAGCTTTCATGGATAGTAGAGAAAGCAGCAAACAGAAAGCACTACTTTAATCATCAGGGAAAGTAGATTCCACTTACAGATATATTTGCCTCCATGTTATGTGATTTATCTACTAAATAACTCAAAAGATGCTACCCAATAATGCTGAAAAATCACAAAATGTTTATTGGCGTTTACCCAGTCGGAGAAGTATGGTCAGTTGTGTCTGTCATATTTATCTTTCCTGTCGTCTAATTGCCCAGCGGCCTTTGTGTGCAATGTTGCCATTTTTCAATCTGGATAATGTTGGAGAAAATACCATAGGTTAATTCTTGGTCGACACAAAAGATATCTGTTCCAAGGACAACACGATTCGGCAATTACATGGTTGTCAGGATTTGCTGATGTAATGCATTGTAGTGATCCTTTGGCAGAGGTCTGAGTCGTAGTTTGTTTCTTCTCGTCTTCAGACATATTTTTAAGGTTAATTTCAGATGTAACCAAATATATCATGGATAAACCTTCGTCAGTGGAATCCCAGGACGGGGCAAGTTTTAACTGACTATCAGAAATATGATCCTGTGCTGTGTTTTGGGAAGTGGACGTTGTTTAGCTCTCCTAACTTAAATTCAATGGTTAAATTGTTGAAATCCCTTGAAGTGAACTACAGTACCAGTATTTTCTAGTGAACTTTTTGTTGCACTTGGATACTTTTTCTGTGGGAGAAAAAATGATTTCGGTAAAATAATAAATATCAATATATAAGAAGTATGTTTTTGCTTATGGGTGAGCAATTGAATATTGTTTTAAGCCACAAGCTGCAGCTCATATAATCAAGTATGGATGATCTAAACTAGTGACTGACTACATGAGCAAGCAATCTTTGTTGGAGACAGGATCATTTTTGATAACTATTTCATTTCATTCAATTTTTCCAGTCAGCTTGATGATATATATTATTTCGACCTAAATGTTTTTTCATGATATCCATCATACATAGTGAACATTTGACTTTTGTCGTGAATTTCCTGTTGCATACATTGATGCTCATGAGATCAATCACTGGATTGTCTGGTCTTGACTATAGTTTACACTGGTATATAGATGAAGAATTGCTGAGGTTTATGCTGCAAGCAACAAACAAACAACACTTTTGTTTCTTTAACTTGAAGCTAAATTATTGTTTTCTTCTGTTTTGGTTTGGTCTGCACATGCACCATTAGCAGAGATACATAAGGCTCAAACTGGCCTCGAATCCCCATGAGAACAAAGTCTTGGCTCATCTGTGCCCCATATGATCTATGCCCCATATGATCTATGCCCCAGCTCGGGGGATCAGATTGGGGAATAATGCCCATCACTGACTGGTACCATGTTGAAGTTGGCAGTGAGTGGAGACTTCAGCAGACCACGATTGCATCAGAGGGTGTATGAAACCTGATAATGTCATCCGTGGGATACGAGGTGGGATAACATATGGTTTGGATTCCATTAAAAGTCTCTAGTTGATTGGTGTCGACACATTTCTGTTTATTCTGCAGCACACATATGGAAACTGACAGAACCATGTAGACCATTTCCGCTGCTTGCCAGAATCTGCCGGACGGCCTACCTACAGTAATATGCTGTATGAGTCATGGTTGAGGAGAAATACATCAGTGTTTCATTTTCCATATTATTTTCATAACCTGACAATATATCGGATGTGACTTTAGGAGAGGTTTGTGTTGTGAAGTATTGCAATACTGACCTCATCCTTATGAACAAACTACTTTTATTCTTTGGGATATGAACTTGTGAATATTAATTTTTAAATTCTTGAATATTAATTGCCTGCTGAGAAGTTCAGGCTTCCAGGGCAGAAATGCTCCCCCAACTTTAAGAAAGTAACTTGTCCTGGCTAATTTTCCTCTTACCCCGATTTTTATGACATAATAATGATGATGTAATTATGAAAGAATAAATCAACATGGTGTGTGATGTTAATGTTCACTGGACTATTTATCGAGAAGTCATAAATAGGAAAGAAGGATAACTCTACTTAATTATCATTGCAAAATTTAATAGCTACATTTTGAGCAGATATGAAATGAAATCCAAGTTTATTTGCAGTTTGAAACCGTAAGCAGAGATTATCTAGTAGCCCGCGGACAAGTAAGATACCATTATTTGATTGCCTGAAATGAAAACTGACTTGTCCCGGGCGTCGGGTGATCACAGTGTATGACCTGCCTAGATGGATGCTCATGCTATTGACCACTGGTTTGCATCATCCAGGCTTCAGCTAGGATATTGCTGTTTGTAGAGAGGACTTTAACCCTGGTGAATCCAGTGTGACTTATTGTTACATCTCTCACAGTTACTGGGAGACAGCAGCAGTGATGCTTTATCTCGAGTAGAAGAGCTGGATGATTTACCTACCCAGGGCTGTATTAGCCAGGCTTGTATTAGCCAGGAGTTATGTCCTTGTAGATAACAGGCCATTGTCTCGTGTGGGAAGAACTTGTACGGTGTGGCCAGATGCCATATGTCTTTCTGTAATAGCTGAACTTCTGTGAGGTGCATTCATTCGTCTGGCTTAAAGAGACCTTGGCTCGGCCAGTAGACCGTTTCAGCTTGATTCACTTGAGTTAGGGAGTCTTGATCTGTTGTAGTATACAATGTTTAGCAGTTCAGCAGCCATGATGACTTTAGTTACAGGGAGAATGTCTTGTTTCACCGCCATACATCACCATAACAACATTCTGGTGTTTCATCTGATCTTTATTGTGACTTTCACAAACTTAAAGCATCCTGAAGTACGTAGATGAGTTACAAGATTAAACTTTAGAAGTTGAGGAACCACCTTGTTTTCAGTTACGGTAGTTTCCTTCATGAATACAGCCGTTTTATACTCAGAGAAACAAATAAAGGAACACAGGAAAATTCAAGTGATCCTTTTATATTTTCCTGTCTTCATCACCAGCTTTGATGACGCTGTGGGAATAAATAAAGGAACACTGCAATGACGTGGTGTTACTTTATTTGTTTCCATCAGTATAGTTCTCTCAGTGTTTTAGCAAACACATCCACAATGTAGGATTCACCCTCGCCAGGATGGGAAGGTGTCTCTGTTGATGAAAGACTCTTGTTCTTTTGGACGTTTACAATTTATTGGGCGCTCACTGACCCACAAAAACAACAGGAGACAAGAAACAGTAGCCATTAATTTTGGGGTTGTTGGTTTGTGGTTCTTTGAGAGGACAAAGACAAATGGCCACTCAGCACTGCTGTACATTGAGGTCATGTTGGGGGATGTAGGTTAGGATTCGTCTCCAGTTTACCTGCTTCCTGTCATCAATCTGGTGTTCATGACCTCAACCACTGGTTTGATAGGTTCATATCTAATGGGAAGTTGTGGTTTATCTGGAAATATTGCTGTGATATTGTGGAAATATTGCTGTGTTATTGTGGAAATATTGCTGTGATATTTTGGAAATATTGTTGTGATATTGTGGAAATAGTGTTTTGATATTGTGGAAATATTGCTGTGATGTTGTGGAAATATTGCTGTGATATTGTGGAAATATTGCTGTGATATTGTGGAAATACTGTTGTGATGTTGTGGAAATATTGCTGTGATATTGTGGAAATATTGTGGAAATAGTGTTTTGTATTGTGTGATTGCTGTGATGTGGAAATATTGCTGTGATATTGTGGAAATATTGCTGTGATATTGTGGAAATACTGTTGTGATGTTGTGGAAATATTGCTGTGATATTGTGGAAATAATGTATGTGTTGTGATATTGGGGAAATATGTGGATATTGTGGAAAAATTGTGATATTGTGGAAATACTGTTGTGATGTAATGGAAAAATGTCTGTGAGCAGAAACAAGACCCACTCAGACTCTTATAAGGAATGATGTCAACAATTGTATATTATTTTGAGTTTCATATATTGATGATGCTATGAGAGTGTATGTGATTCTCAATACGTGTGTTGTTGCTTGTCTACATGTCTGACTGTGTGTTGTTCCAGACGGCGGAGACAGCACCAGCTACGAGTCCTACGATGAGGACAACCAGTACCATGACGTGGAGCTCCTCAACAAACTCAACATCAAGCTGCCAAAGTAAGTTGTCAATTGGACATTGGTTTAAGACAAACCAAAATATATATGATTCCTTAAAGCAGTGTAGAGTTGTCTGCCTTGAGCATGCCAGGATCTAATGATTATTGATTAGACTTTGAACTTGCTCACTGGTTTCAGCAAAGTTCTAAACATGTAAGATCTGTGTCCATATGGGCTTTCCTCCAACATTAACTGACACTCGTTATAAAGCAGCATCATACCTCACTCACGGACATGTTCTTCCTTCAGACGTCCCAAGAAAAAGTCCAACAAGCTGAAGAAGAAACTGAGCAAGTCCCGGTCGTCCTCCAGCTGGGAGATAAATGTCCCCTTCAAGAAGCTAGAGGACATGGCTGTGTCAGGCGACCTCCAGTACAAGGGCAAGTTGTCGTGGACACGCAAGCTGGTTGCCCTCAGCAACGGCAACATGGCTTGCTACAAGCCTGACAAGGAGACCAAGCCACAACTTGTGGTAGGTTTAGCTGTCTTTAGTTGCCATCTTTACCTTTGATGTTGTGAAGTTTGTGAATTGAACACATTTATCTTTGGAAACAGATTGTGGCAAACTGAAAAAACATTTAATTCATGTTCAGTAGGGTGTTGTGTGTTGTCAGTGATGAAGGAGGGTGTTGTGTGTTGTCACTGATGAAGGAGGGTGTTGTGTGTTGTCAGTGATGAAGGAGGGTGTTGTGTGTTGTCAGTGATGAAGGAGCGTGTTCTGTGTTGTCAATGATGAAGGAGGGTGTTCTGTGTTGTCACTGATGAAGAAGGGTGTTCTGTGTTGTCAGTGATGAAGGAGGGTGTTCTGTGTTGTCAGTGATGAAGGAGGGTGTTCTGTATTGTCAATGATGAAGAAGGGTGTTGTGTGTTGTCACTGATGAAGGAGGGTGTTCTGTATTGTCAGTGATGAAGAAGGGTGTTGTGTGTTGTCAGTGATGAAGGAGGGTGTTCTGTGTTGTCGGTGATGAAGAAGGGTGTTCTGTGTTGTCAGTGATGAAGAAGGGTGTTGTGTGTTGTCACTGATGAAGGAGGGTGTTCTGTATTGTCACTGATGAAGGAGGGTGTTCTGTATTGTCAATGATGAAGAAGGGTGTTGTGTGTTGTCACTGATGGAGGAGGGTGTTCTGTATTGTCAGTGATGAAGAAGGGTGTTGTGTGTTGTCAGTGATGAAGGAGGGTGTTCTGTGTTGTCGGTGATGAAGAAGGGTGTTCTGTGTTGTCACTGATGAAGGAGGGTGTTGTGTGTTGTCAGTGTTGAAGGAGCGTGTTCTGTGTTGTCACTGATGAAGAAGGGTGTTCTGTATTGTCAGTGATGAAGGAGGGTGTTGTGTGTTGTCACTGATGAAGGAGGGTGTTGTGTGTTGTCACTGATGAAGGAGGGTGTTGTGTGTTGTCAATGATGAAGGAGGGTGTTGTGTGTTGTCACTGATGAAGGAGGGTGTTCTGTATTGTCACTGATGAAGGAGGGTGTTGTGTGTTGTCAATGATGAAGAAGGGTGTTCTGTGTTGTCACTGATGAAGGAGGGTGTTGTGTGTTGTCAATGTTGAAGGAGCGTGTTCTGTATTGTCCGTGATGAAGAAGGGTGTTGTGTGTTGTCAATGTTGAAGGAGCGTGTTCTGTGTTGTCAGTGATGAAGGAGGGTGTTGTGTATTGTCAATGATGAAGGAGGGTGTTGTGTGTTGTCAGTGATGAAGGAGGGTGTTGTGTGTTGTCAGTGATGAAGGAGGGTGTTGTGTGTTGTCAGTGATGAAGGAGGGTGTTGTGTGTTGTCAGTGATGAAGGAGGGTGTTGTGTGTTGTCACTGATGAAGGAGGGTGTTGTGTGTTGTCAGTGATGAAGGAGGGTGTTCTGTGTTGTCAGTGATGAAGGAGGGTGTTCTGTGTTGTCAATGATGAAGAGGGTGTTGTGTGTTGTCACTGATGAAGGAGGGTGTTGTGTGTTGTCAGTGATGAAGGAGGGTGTTGTGTCTGTGTTGTCAGTGATGAAGGAGGGTGTTGTGTGTTGTCAGTGATGAAGAAGGGTGTTCTGTGTTGTCACTGATGAAGGAGGGTGTTCTGTGTTGTCAGTGATGAAGAAGGGTGTTGTGTGTTGTCAGTGATGAAGGAGGGTGTTCTGTGTTGTCGGTGATGAAGGAGGGTGTTGTGTGTTGTCAGTGATGAAGGAGGGTGTTGTGTGTTGTGTGTTGTCAGTGATGAAGGAGGGTGTTGTGTGTTGTCAGTGATGAAGGAGGGTGTTGTGTGTTGTCAGTGATGAAGGAGGGTGTTCTGTGTTGTCAGTGATGAAGAAGGGTGTTGTGTGTTGTCAGTGATGAAGGAGGGTGTTCTGTGTTGTCGGTGATGAAGAAGGGTGTTGTGTGTTGTCACTGATGAAGGAGGGTGTTGTGTGTTGTCAGTGATGAAGGAGGGTGTTGTGTGTTGTCAGTGATGAAGGAGGGTGTTCTGTGTTGTCGGTGATGAAGAAGGGTGTTGTGTGTTGTCAGTGATGAAGGAGGGTGTTCTGTGTTGTCAGTGATGAAGGAGGGTGAATGAAGGAGGGTGTTGTGTGTTGTCACTGATGAAGGAGGGTGTTGTGTGTTGTCAGTGATGAAGGAGGGTGTTGTGTGTTGTCAGTGATGAAGGAGGGTGTTCTGTGTTGTCGGTGATGAAGGAGGGTGTTCTGTGTTGTCAGTGATGAAGGAGGGTGTTGTGTGTTGTCAGTGATGAAGGAGGGTGTTGTGTGTTGTCAGTGATGAAGGAGGGTGTTGTCAGTGATGAAGGAGGGTGTTGTGTGTTGTCAGTGATGAAGGAGGGTGTTGTGTGTTGTCAGTGATGAAGGAGGGTGTTCTGTGTTGTCGGTGATGAAAGGAGGGTGTTCTGTGTTGTCAGTGATGAAGGATGTTGTGTGTTGTCAAGGTGTTGTGTGTTGTCGGTGATGAAGGAGGGTGTTGTGTATTGTCAGTGATGAAGGAGGGTGTTGTGTGTTGTCAATGATGAAGGAGGGTGTTCTGTGTAGTTGGTGATGAAGAAGGGTGTTGTGTGTTGTCAGTGATGAAGGAGGGTGTTGTGTATTGTCAGTGATGAAGGAGGGTGTTGTGTGTTGTCAATGATGAAGGAGGGTGTTCTGTGTAGTCAGTGATGAAGGAGCGTGTTCTGTGTTGTCGGTGATGAAGAAGGGTGTTCTGTGTTATCAATGTTGAAGAAGGGTGTTTTGTGTTTCAGGTGCACCTAACGGGGTACGAGGCTGCTTTGCATGAGAAAGAGAACCGAAAGGGATATGAGATCAAGTTGACCCACCCTAACTGTGACAGCCACGTCTTCGCCGTTGACTTCAAGGAGTGGGCGCAGCTGTGGGTCGATGTAAGTGATGCTGCAAGTACTGTAGATCTCATCTAAACACTCCTCAAATGCGTCACAGCAGATTTAAAAAAATACACTTCTGTGCAGACACAGATAGCTTTTAAAATATATAAAAATTAAATAAATCCCATATACAATTAAATAAATGATGAAAATCCAATTATGATTGTGTCTCAAGGAAGCTTTCAGACAAAAGCACCTGAGGTTGGTTTTTCTTCTGAAATGTGTTTTAACTTTGTAATTGTACAGTTGGTAGGAAACTCCTTTACCCCTCACTCAAACCACCCACCCTCATCCTATGTCGCCACCCACCCTCATCCTATGTCGCCACCCACCCTCATCCTATGTCGCTACCCACCCTCATCCTATGTGGATGCTGGGGCACATGAGTCATCCTCTGTGACTCTGCCGATAATGTGTGGTTGTCAATGGGTAGCCTAGTGGTTAAAACGCTCATTGTGCCGAAGACCAGGGTTCGATTCCCCACATGGGTACAATGTGTGAAGCCCATTTCTGGTTTCCCCCGCCGTGATATTGCTGGAATATTGCTGAAGTGGCGTAAAACCCAACTCATTCACTCACTCATAGTAATTGTGGGTCTTTGCTCATAACATCAGTCACCAGATTGTCTGGTTCAAGCTTGATTATTGCAAGCTGCTGTGATTCAGCTGTAATGTTGCTGAATACAGCAAACAGACTTCTTGTATGAGCTGTAAGATGAATAATAAAATATGAATAGTGAATAAAACCAGTGAGGCAGTGGTGTAGCCTAGTGGGTAAAGCGTTGGCTCATCACGCCAAAGATGCAGGTTCGATTCCCCACATGGGTACAATGTGTGAAGCCCATTTCTGGTGCCCCCGCTGTGATATTGCTGGAATATTGCTAAAAACTGTGTAAAATCATACACGCACTTGTACTCGATTTAAACCAGTAAAAATATGTCGTGTTGTCATATGTGTCCACAGCACATCAACATTATGGCTAAAGGGTTACCTCCCCCTACCCCCTACCAACACCTGGCTCGCACCAACTTCACCCAGCAGAGTGAACATGGAAGCAAGGTAAGTGTCCACCTGTTGCTAATTAGTTTTAATCGTATCGTTACCAGGGAAGCCCACTCATAATTTACACATACTGATGGCCATTTGGGTCCAACAACATGAGATATAGATGTGTATGTTGAAGGAGTATGTGGGAGATCTTCAGGACTATATATTTGAGGGTAGATCAATTTATTTTCCTTTGTGATGGATTGGTTTTTTTTATTTATTTAGCAAATATGAAGATGTAATTTTGGCTAAAACTTTTATTTCAAGAGTTTGTTTTTGTTTTTTTAAAATAATCTCAAATCAGCCTATACAATATTTGTATAAATAAATTTAGAAAGAAATTCTTTGTTCTACCTTAAAGACATTTTTGAAAAGTTTCTATTTATTAATAAATGTATAGTGTACAGAAAATAGGATAAGTTCGATGGAGCTGTATTGAAGAACAGTAACATTTTGGTTATAGTGTACATGATTTATTTTAACATTGTCAAATATTGTATATGATTTTTCTTTGTCATTCCTTACCTCAGGTCTATCTGTGTGATACACCATGATTACATACATATAGAGAAACAGATTGAAGATAAGAAAATAACTCCGTTGCAACCTTTGCTTGCCTGAAAAGGCGACAGAGTGGATTGGGTGGTCTGGCATTGTGGACAGCAAGTGATCACATGTCAGTTGGGCGGAGCCATGAGCTCTGATCCGGACTTATACACAGACCCCAATCTTATAGCTGGAATACTGATGTGTGACTCATAAAAACAAACAGTGACCAAAAGCTATTTCTTTTCATGTTTTACAACTAAAATATATTCAACAGAGAAATAACAAGTATCATCGGAACAGGAAGGTAACGAACAATATGGCTTCTTGTCCTAACAAAATAACCAGACATTGTTTAACAATTAAGTATAGAAAACAAGGGAGACAGTACTTCACCCTGCAGGACAGATGAAATTGATTATGATTGATGTGCAATGTACATAGCAGGTGCCCCTTTCTCTCATGTATACTACTCAAAGAGTTTGATAAGGATCATATAGTTCTTACATTATAAAATCAATATATGAATTGATATGACCGCAAAATTTCATCACAATGTTGGACTGACCCTCTTTGAGCCTCAAAACACAGGTTAGGTAGGGAAATGCATGCTGCAATGATCATGAGTAGCCGCGTGAAGCATGGTACCCACATTTTCACATTTCTGAGTGCTTGTCGTTGATTTGAATTTGGGCATTGTCTTTACATCTGACATCGTTTAAGTCCACTGTTACTCTATGAAAATGCCTCCACAAGCGTCAAAGGCGTCGTTTGACTGTTGAAGAATTGGCCAGATGCATAGGAATGCTTTCGAAAATGGTGCAAGACAACGCGTCACGTTGCAGAGCTATTGGGTGTCAGTCAGGCGTTGTTTGCAGAGCTTGGAACCGGGTATCAAGCTCATGGTTCAGCTTCTCATCGACATGGAAGCGACGAGAAAGGTCCACCACGCAGCAAGATGACCGTTTTCTCTTGATTTCAGCACAACGTCATCGGTTTTGCAGCGGCGACTGCGCTTAGAAATGATCTTCTGAATGCAACTGGAGTTAACATTTCCATGCAAACTGTCGCGTGTCGTCTTCATGAAGCTGGTCTTACGTTCCCGAGAGCCTGTATTAGCATCCCTCTTACTCAGCGACACAGACAAGATCGTTTGAATTGGGCCAGGGCTCATGTGAATTGGAGGGTTGTTGATTGGGCCCTGTACTTTTCACAGGCGAGTCGAGGTTTTGTGTTGACTTCACAGATCGTGGGTGCGCGAGTGTGGAGAAAGGGCAGGAGAACGATATCAGGGCGCTAATGTTGCTGAACCGCGACAGATATGGTGGTGGAGTGCGTTGATGATTTGGGGAGAATCAGTCGAGCTGGGCGAACTGATCTCCATGTCCTAAAGGCGAGCCGCGATGACGGAGTCGCTACAGGGATGAAGTCCTGGATGTGTGCGTGGGACCATATGCTGGTGCTGTTGGTCCTGACTTCATCCTCATGGGCGATAATGCGCGTCCACATCGTGCTAGGGTGGTGGGCGAGTACCTGGAGCGTGAGACAATTGTTAAGTATGGACTGGCCAGCTCGTTCTCCAGACCTCAACCCTATCGAGCATGTCTGGAATATGCTTCAGGTAGCGATTTCCGCGTCGTCCTGTACAACCAACCACCCTCCAGGAACTTGAAAATGTTCTGATCCAAGAATGGAACAATCTCTATCTTGCGTCCATTCAAAACCTCGTTGGAAGCATGAGGCGGCGTTGCCAAGCTGTCATTGGAGCTAACGGAGGAGGCCATACCGCTATTGACACTTGTTTGTGCAGTGTGAAATGGAATGTGCAGAGTTTAAACAATTTACATGATCATGAAATTACCATGCTTTTATGGTACTCTCCCTTTACCTTAGAGTCTGCAGCGATGAAATGTCATGTTTGCCAAATTTTTCTGTCACAATTTCTTGAAGTAAACATTTCTGAACATCAATCACTCTGTGTTGGTTGTCATTCACCTTTGTTGAAAGTTTTACAAGTGCTGAAAAATATGATCCTTATCAAACTTTGAGTAGTATATAATGATGGTAATATTCCATAATAAAGTTAAGTGTTTTTAGTTTCGATTTGATAATAAAATAACATTGTATACAGACAAACTTTATGTATAAACAACTTCTTTATTCGGTAGATGCGGCGTTTCGATACAGATTCTTGTATCGTCAAGCAAGTATGATACGATACAAGAATCTGTATCGAAACATCGCATCAACCGAATAAGGAAGTTGTTTATCCATAAAGTTTGTCTGTATATTACTCCCAACGTCTAAACAATGCCACTGAAAGAAGTTAAAATAATATCGTATCTGAAGTTCATTCATGTTTCATCTAGGCTTTTGTTACTTTAAGATATAGTATATTGTGCTGTCCTATAAACTAATTATGAGTAGATGCGTGATTCTAAAACACATAGATAGTTGTGATCACATTTGTTTTCACATAACCTGTGTGTGCTTTGACTTACACACTTGGTTAATATTGGTGATCACATGGCAGTTGGGCGGAGCCATGCTCATGAGCTCTGATCCAGACTTATACACAGACCCCATTCATATAGCTGGAATATTAATGAGTGACTCATAATAACAAACAGTGACCAAAAAACGTCTTATCATGTTTTACAACTAAAATATTTTTAACAGAGAAATAACAAGTATCCTCGGAACAGGAAGGTAATGAACATGATGGCTTCTTGTCCTAACAAAATAACCAGACATTGTTTAACAACTTTTAAGAGAAGAACATGTTATAAGTATAGAAAACAAGGGAGACAGTACTTCACCCTGCAGGACAGATGAAATTGATTATGATTGATGTGCAATGTACATAGCAGGTGCCCCTTTCATGTTTCTAGGGCTCATTCGAGCGATCACCAAGAAATCATAAAATAGCTACACTTTTTGGTTAACTGCCTTTAAAAGACTCTTCACTTATGATAAGCTTGAGGCAATGGATGCTTCAGTGTGAAAACATTGCAAAATATTTCAGCTTTTAGGAATAAATTTGTGTCACGGATTAGACAGAAAGTTTGCAAAGGATATGATCCAGTTTTGTTAATAGAATTTTTTACTCAATAAAATTTTGATTAAAATGTCAGCATCTAATCTATTAATGCATTTGTTATTACCCCTCTTTCCATGTATGAACAAAATCACAATATATTGGTAAATAATAAAGTCAGTTTTTCCAAAAGATTTTGATAAAAATGTATAAGGGTTTGATCAATTTGAGGCTAAATATGAACTAGGCCAATCTATTAAATATTTACAATGAAATTTTCTGCCTTTCGTTACCATGGAAATCTTTATTTCTCTGGCTGTCATTTATTAATCTAGTATTGATAATTTGTCTTGATACAGTCTCAGTGTTAGCATTTTCTCAAAGCAGCAATATTGCAATAGACATTTCTATATTCAAAGATATACTTCTCACAACAATCTTTATATAATGGAGTGTAAAGCATCCCATCCTAGTTAAAGTGAAATGACTAAGTTGTGAAGCTTTCACACATGATGCCACCAAAAATGTGGAATATGGCTAAGAGAGGTGAAGGAACGGTCACCACTTAATAATGGCATGCTTCTTATTGAACACTTAATTGGTTAAATGTGGTACAAATAAACTGCATGTGATGTAACTAGTCTTCAAAAAACACATTTGTTGGCATCATTCTGTTCAAAAAGATTCCTCCAATTATTAATGCATATAGTTCAGGTTAAACTCACATCACTAGAAACTGTTTATGAGATTAAAATAAAGTTTACCTTCCTAGACGCTGCAGCATTTTAAGTAGCGAATGTCCCAAATTAGAAAGCGCATATTAAAAAAGGTGTCGACTTTTATTACAAATAGTTTCTTGGATTTCAAGTGTTGAATGTAACAAATTATGTCTCTTATGTCCAAGATCTACTCAGCAATGAAAAGCCTACTTACTCACGGAAATAACACCTACCAACTCTTGTACATGCACTGCGACATATTAATTGCACCCTACGTTAAGTAGGTAACTGGTTGCTTACGTTTAATCTGCTTGAGTCATTTGATCCAATTGTGAAATGTACGACAGAAAATATGAAAAATAATCTGCTTGACATGTAAAGCTATAACAGTTCATGCTTGACTGTGTAACCAACCTGATTGGCATAACCTGGAGTAAACTTTAACCTCTGAAAATGTTGATATTTATTACACTGACAATAATAGTTGTTTAAAGGTCATTTATTACAAATAACACTTGTACAATGATGGTCATATTGCGTAATAATTGTAAATTGCAGACTCAATTATAATGTTATTTTGTTAGATCCTAATGTTTAGTGTGTTTTAGTTTTGATTTGATAATAAAATTATATCTGAAGTTCATACATGTTTCATCAGTACTTTTGTTACTTTAAGATATAGTATATTGTGCTGTCCTATAAACTAATTATTAGTAGATGTGTGAATTATGACACATAGATTGTTTTGATCACATTTGTCTTGACATAACCTGTGTATGCTTTGACTTGCACACTTGGTTGATATTTCCTTGTCTGTCTCATAATAGGATGGTAAATTCATTGAAAAACATTAACCTGTAGACCCACTTTCAGCGTGATCAGTCACTGGTTCGTCTGATCCAGATTTGATTACTTACAGCTCAGCATCATATGGATGGAATGTTGCAGAGTTCACCATTTCAAAACTAACAAACAAGCAGACATATTGTAAGAACAAATATTAATGAGATTATGTTTTGTTTTGTGGTCAAGATGAGTTTATGGGACGACAGTACCTCTGAGGGCCGATCCAAGACATTAGACTCGTCTGTTTCACAAGGGGCGGGTAATTTAAACGTGACGACGACTCTTGCTCGGTGGGACTGGAAAACGTTGTTCTACAACTGGACGTTCCCTATAGACCACTTCATCATGGGTCTACGACGAGTAAGATTGCACGCTATCGTGTCGAGAATGATGCATCGTGGGATAGTTCAAGACTTAGAGGAGTGTTTTGTTTTTGACAGTGAGACAGTTATGCATCTGATGCATTGTGGGTTGAGATGCTTTATGTTGCCTTGTGGAAATAGAAACAGATTTTAAGTATGCTGACTAACTGCAACTTGTTAGAGACTTTTGTGGTTGTAGTTGTGTCATGGTTGTGATTTACAACCATGTTGGTTGATGTTTGTGTGGCGTTTGTGTTCTGATTGTTGCTGTGGAGTGATGTGTTTGCATTTGGTAGGAGTCTAGTTTAGTCTCCCCCATCATCATCATCATCATCGTTATTTTTATAAGCTGCAGCATGTATTATATTTATCCTTGTTTACTTCTATGTTTTCTTTATGGAACACTGTTAGAGTTGATCAGCTATGGCAACCTTCGCTTGTCGTAAGAGAAGAAGGAAGTGATCAGGTGGTCTTCAGTTTCAGTGACATCATTAATGGTGTCATTGTACCCAGACACACGTGGATCGTTGCTTATGATATCAATCACAGGATAGCTTCGTCAGGAAACTCTTTACAGGGAGACAGACAACTGTATTATTTCAGTGCAGCGCGCTAAAATTACTCAGACACACACATTCTCTCTCTCTGTCTCTTTCTCAAATTACTGACACACACATTCTCTCTCTTTCTCTCTGTCTCTTTCTCAAATTACTCAGACACACACATTCTCTCTCTCTCTCTCAAATTACTCAGACGCACACATTCTCTTTCTTTCTCTCTCTCTCTCTCTCACACACACACACACACATACACACACACACACACACACACACACTTCTTGGTCTTGCAATTCATATTTATCATCAATATTATGATTTGATTATTCCCACCTCTGTCCTGTGCATCTTTGATCCTCCCCCTGCCCAGTGCTTCTCACATCACCTGATGGTTGGCACACCAACACCAGCTTGTTCTGAGTGCTTTACAAACCCATGTGTTCTCATTTCTCATTGGTTCTCGTTTGACATGGGCATTACCTGTGCATTGTGCTTGTCTTCAGTTTGACCACTGCATGTTACATGCACACATCACTTTGCATTTCTGAGATTTGTTCCTTTCTTTGTGACTCTGCTATGAATCCACCACAGCTGTGGCTAGAGAAGAATGATTCTATGTCAGAGGTACAGATAAGCTGCATATCTGCGTAAATTACGCAAATATTTATGTGAAAACTCAATTCCTATTAAGTCTATTGCGTACAAGTACGCTTGAAGTTTTGTAAATACTCAATAAATGTGATCTTACATGCGTACACACAAAAATGTCCAATCGTAGGTTGCGTACCGGTGGATAGATAAAATAACTGACGTATATTGAGAGGTTCTATTTTAGGACATTAGCTCGACAACTTGCAGTCTTTCTTATCGTTTCTCATATTACAGATCAAATGTAAAATCACAAACACTAACATTTAAACTTTATTATATTTTTTAAATTATTGGAAAATGGCAAAATACACAATTGAGTTTGGAGTGAGGTGAGTACAATTTATTTGGTTACTCAAAGGAAAATTAGGATACCCAATTGATATGAACACAAGCGAGTGCGTAACTCAATGACCCAAAGTTATCTGTAGCTCTGCATGTATATGTACATCATATGTTCCAAGTGTCCTTTAAACTTCATTCTGTGTCCTCAGATACATTCTTGACTGATAATGTTTTCTTGGACATCATCACAGCATTTTAGTCCCAGTACAGCAGTCATTTTTTTGCCACTACAAATATTTTAAAATTTAAAATTTCCCTACATATATGAAGCAGATTTTGTTTTCTATTACATCAGCACAAACTTTGTGTAATTTTTGCATATTAGAGTCGAGTTGGCGGTGTACCCATCTGTGTCTGTTGGTTGTCATCTTGGAAAAAATGTACCATTAGTCCCAATTCTGTTTTCTGTAAATAATATGTTTATTCATCCTATGCTATCTTGAAAAGAATGTGCATGAGAAAAATTCCGTTTTGTGTGTTGGGCCTCATGAACCACTGCAGGTGAGTCGATGTGCCAGGGAGAGGTGATACTCCTTGACCAATAAGATTACTTTTTAAACCTCCTCGTGTCCTCTTTTTTGATGTCTTGATTATATTACTAACTGCAATAAGAACCATCTTTTTACCATCATCGCTTGCTTTGTGTGACTCACTGCAGCCATTGTCAAGATCTTTGAGAGTTGTCTCCCTTTAATGTGGACTGGATGCGTGGATCTTGAATTTAGATCCCATTTCAGTATCAACACTAACATAAATTGTGTTTCTAAAACAATGAGAGAAGGCTTCCTAATCATAGCCCTCAGTGTAGAAGGCATCACTGAGTGTGGATATATTGTCAGTAGCCTGTATGTAAGTGTTCCTTCACAGGTCAAATGTGACGATTGCCAAGTGGTATGATGTCGTGATGTCAGATACAATGTGTTTTGCTTGTCTTGCATGAGTTTATACTGAATAAATGTATATTCAAGTGTAATCCAAGTTTAACCACATTTCTGAGGTCTTGCTATGAAAACAAAAGCCAGATTGTTTTGATGGAGACCTGTTAAGTGTCAGGCTGCTTTCATCCAGATGGCCGATTGTGTTGATCCTTGACATGTCAATGTTAGGTTTCAGTCTCAGCAGGAAGTGGTATGTGTATATATTTTGAAATTGAAGGGTTTGATTTGACAAATGGTGTTATAGAAACACGTTGAGTATTGCATTGTGAACAGCCACAGAGACCAACATGTGGAGGACATTTGTGCATCGTTCTGTTGGTGACAATATAAGTTGTTCACTGGTCACCAGGGGGACATGAGTTGATGATTGTACCCACTATATTTGTTTATGAACATAATCAACCCATGGGCCCCGAGGGACCAGTGAACAAAGTATTTATCTTACCGAAGACCTCTATGTTAATTTTGAACTGTTTGAATCACGGGTATCGGATGATTTTAAGGAGTACCAGAGTTAGACAGTTAGCCAATACCAACGGAAGACGACAAGAAAAACAAATTTAGAGTTATCTCCCTTCCATTGATTTGCATTCACAAAACATCTGTAATTTCCGTACATCATACATGACTAAATTACCCGAGATAAGGAATTTTCTAACACAAAGTACCAACTGAATTCCCTCAGTTCAGCATTCCCAGTGGGTAACCTAAAAACCTAAAAAATGGTACTTTCGTTTGCCAGCGGGGGTTCATCTTCATCATCATCATCATCTTCATCATCATCATCATCGTTATTTTTATAAGCTGCAGCATGTATTATATTTATCCTTGTTTACTTCTATGTTTTCTTTATGGAACACTGTTAGAGTTGATCAGCTATGGCAACCTTCGCTTGTCGTAAGAGAAGAAGGAAGTGATCAGGTGGTCTTCAGTTTCAGTGACATCATTAATGGTGTCATTGTACCCAGACACACGTGGATCGTTGCTTATGATATCAATCACAGGATAGCTTCGTCAGGAAACTCTTTACAGGGAGACAGACAACTGTATTATTTCAGTGCAGCGCTAAAATTACTCAGACACACACATTCTCTCTCTCTGTCTCTTTCTCAAATTACTGACACACACATTCTCTCTCTTTCTCTCTGTCTCTTTCTCAAATTACTCAGACACACACATTCTCTCTCTCTCTCTCAAATTACTCAGACCACACATTCTCTTTCTCTCTCTCTCTCTCTCTCACACACACACACACACATACACACACACACACACACACACACACTTCTTGGTCTTGCAATTCATATTTATCATCAATATTATGATTTGATTATTCCCACCTCTGTCCTGTGCATCTTTGATCCTCCCCTGCCCAGTGCTTCTCACATCACCTGATGGTTGGCACACCAACACCAGCTTGTTCTGAGTGCTTTACAAACCCATGTGTTCTCATTTCTCATTGGTTCTCGTTTGACATGGGCATTACCTGTGCATTGTGCTTGTCTTCAGTTTGACCACTGCATGTTACATGCACACATCACTTTGCATTTCTGAGATTTGTTCCTTTTTGACTCTGCTATGAATCCACCACAGCTGTGGCTAGAGAAGAATGATTCTATGTCAGAGGTACAGATAAGCTGCATATCTGCGTAAATTACGCAAATATTTATGTGAAAACTCAATTCCTATTAAGTCTATTGCGTACAAGTACGCTTGAAGTTTTGTAAATACTCAATAAATGTGATCTTACATGCGTACACACAAAAATGTCCAATCGTAGGTTGCGTACCGGTGGATAGATAAAATAACTGACGTATATTGAGAGGTTCTATTTTAGGACATTAACTTGACAACTTGCAGTCTTTCTTATCGTTTCTCATATTACAGATCAAATGTAAATCACAAACACTAACATTTAAACTTTATTATATTTTTTAAATTATTGGAAAATGGCAAAATACCAAATTGAGTTTGAGTGAGGTGAGTACAATTTATTTGGTTACTCAAAGGAAAATTAAGATACCCAATTGATATGAACACAAGCGAGTACGTAACTCAATGACCCGAAAGTTATCTGTAGCTCTGCATGTATATGTACATCATATGTTCCAAGTGTCCTTTAAACTTCATTCTGTGTCCTCAGATACATTCTTGACTGATAACGTTTCTTGGACATCATCACAGCATTTTAGTCCCAGTACCGCAGTCATTTTTTTGCCACTACAAATATTTTAAAATTTAAAATTTCCCTACATATATGAAGCAGATTTTGTTTTCTATTACATCAGCACAAACTTTGTGTAATTTTTGCATATTAGAGTCGAGTTGGCGGTGTACCCATCTGTGTCTGTTGGTTGTCATCTTGGAAAAAATGTACCATTAGTCCCAATTCTGTTTTCTGTAAATAATATGTTTATTCATCCTATGCTATCTTGAAAAGAATGTGCATGAGAAAAATTCCGTTTTGTGTGTTGGGCCTCATGAACCACTGCAGGTGAGTCGATGTGCCA